TTCATCCCCTACCATTCAAGATTGCAAAGGATATAAGCAGCTTCTGCCATTCCTGCAATCTTAAAAGAGAAGGACTCTTACATTCTTTGAGTTTGCATTTTAGTGACTGCCACTAGACCATTTCCTGCCTCCACAAGTGTGTTGCTTTATTATTTTGAGCCTGTAAACAAAATTATACTTTTATAAACTCACAGAAAGCATTAAAAATAAGGCCTTCCCCAAACAGCTAAAGATAATAAATATATCAATATATGAAACTTTGTAAGGAACTAGAGAACAACTGACTCTCCTCCCTAGCTAAGTCAGAAGGATGAACATGGAGAAAGCCTAAGCTACTTAGAGGTGCTGATTGTCTTCCAAAAATCAGTTTGGGCCTTAAATATAACCAGTCAGCAAGGCTTCTCTATCCAGTTAGGAAAGAAAACTTTATGCTTTCTGGGACAAAAAAAAAAAAAAAAAATGCTCTTAAGCACAATCATTTTAAAACAAACAAACACACTCTGCTTATCTGTGTCTATCTCACCACTCTGGACGTTAATCATCACTGAAATAGATACCCCAATCCCTCAGCCTCAAAGAGCTCCAAAGCTACAGGACTCCACCAGAGGAACGAATGTACATGCCAGGACAAACGCCTTAGGAGTCTCACTCTCTAAGCACCTATTGTTAATTCTAGGCAAATCTATTACAAGCATGTGTAAGAGAGCACCCAGGTACTATTCAAAGGATATTTAAAATAAAATTCCTGTTTGAAAATATGTAGCACTTAATTTGGGAGGAAGGAGATCAAATAAGCTTTTTTTAACAAAAGACTGGCAAAAATATACTTTTTTTAAAAAGGCTTACATGCGGGATACTTCTTTCTTTCCATTCTTTGCTCTTGTTAGTTTTCAGTATCAGAATTTACAGACAGAACCTCTGTTTAAATTAAACCATCATTATAAACTGACAGCTGAATTTCACTGTTTTGTTCTTGTAAACTGAACTAAGTTAGTTTGCCACATACTCTAGGGAAAATTTAATAAAAGATTGCTGTACGAAACATTTCCTTGACTTTTATTGTTATAATCAAGATATATTACCATTCCATCAGGCTTTATAAAACCTTCAAACAAAACTTATTTTAAGTCAGATGATTGACTCAAACTATCTTTGAGTCCTGTTTTTAAAAAATGCTTAGGCTACCTACTAGTGTTCATTGTTTGGGCAAGAGGCCTAAAGGGAAGCAAATTATTTGTTTGTGGTTTTAAAGTGGGCAAAATGCCTTCAAGCACAAGCATAAGACCATTAGCAAATCACAAGGAACCAAAATAGTTCATCTTACTCAACAAAGCTGTGATCAGTTACCAACAGCCAAACTGAAGGGGCTTGCCCTAGGCCGGAAGGTCAGAAAACCTTAGCAGTTCGTGTTTCTGAGAATCAAGAGGCTCTTCAGCAGGGAGTGCAGGCTCTAAGCCCACAAGTTCTGCTGTCTTGTTTCTGAAAACATTTAGGACAGGTGAGAAAAAGTAAGGAAAGAGAGTTTTTGACCCCTTCTGCCTTTAGGCACCACCTCTGTGTCAAACCATCCCCACTTTTTTTTGCTATATACAGACTGACTAGAGGAGAAGCTAAGCAAATTAAAAAGTTCCATTTTAGGCTGGGCACGGTGGCTTATGCCTGTAATCCTAGCACTCTGAGAGGCCAAGGTGGGTGGATCACCTGAGCTCACAGGTTTGACACCATTCTAAGAAGAGTGAGACCTCAGTCTCTAAAAATAGCCAGGTGTTGTGGTGGGCACCTGTAGTGCCAGCTACTCAGGAAGCTAAGCCAAGAGAATTGCTTGAGCCCAGAAATTGGAGGTTGCTACGTGCTATGATGCCACTCATACAGGCACTCTACAGAGGGTGACAAAATAAAACTGTCTCAAAAAAAAAAAAAAGTTCCATTTTACAACAATTTATGGAGTGCCTATTATGTGCTAAACACTATGCTAGCTAGCACTCTACATTTAAGCCCCATTTTACAGGGCAATGTTATTCTCATTCTTTAAAGATAATAAAACTCAGGGCCAGAGAGATTATGTGGCTCCTGATAAAATCAAATTTTGTGTGGTTACTTATAAAAACTTATCTTACTTATCCAGTCTGCAGTTAATCAGTCCAAAGTATATATAATAGTCTTGCTACTATCCAAGCAGCCATACTCCTACTATACTTTGGGCCCAGACTCCCTGATTAACAGGATTGGGGTGCATGCTTGCTCCTTCCAGGTATGAAAACCACTTATTCATGGCTTATTAAGTCCCTGCAGCTGTCCAGGAATAGACCACACTAGTAAACACCCTCTCCACCTGCTGTAACACATATAACTTCTCCCTCAACCCAGAAAACCTGAGTATCGACCTTGTTCTTTATCAAGTGCTATGGTAAAACAACTTCCCCTGAAGGCCAGAGACACCTCACCCAAGACACAGATGAGAAATCAAAACACAAATCTAATAAGTAATAAAGCCATAACTTCATTTGGCAATCTCAAAGCTTTTTAAACTATAAACTTACTTTCATCTTGCTGTTACTATTGCTATTGAACTCATTCCCACTATCTCTCTTTTAGAGCATTTGAAAAGGAAACAAAAATAAACATCAATTCTTCCATTCATTCATTCTACCTCTATAAGAAGAGAAAGCAAACGAAACTGCCTTGGCTGGCATGAGTTACAGTTATTTTAGCTAACTTCTTTTATAGATCAACTGGTAATATTCTTTGGAAGATTATTCTTTTATGAAAGGAAAAGAAAAAAATACTATTTTTGCAGGTGACAAGACTGCAAGCCAAAAGTCGTAAGGAATTATCATCAACAAAATCATACTAGAATTAATAAAAGAGTTAAGCAAAATGATTAAGTTCAAAATTTACAAAAGATTATAACAATCTTACACACCAGTAATAGCCAGAAAATATATTGATAGTTAGCATTTTCAATAAAAATGAATATGCATAACATAATGCATAATATGCATAAATATGTTATGCATATTTAGAATACCTAGGAATAAGTGCAACAACAGATATTTGAAAACTTTATAATGAAAACCACAAAAGTCCTAGAAAAGGCACAGAATGTTTTTTGGTGGGGAGTTGAGAAGTATAGACATGACACACACACATAAATACAACAAGGTTAATCTTACCCTAAGGGACACTAGACTATCAAAAAACAATAATATTTAAAGTAGTATGAAAACAGAAAAATGTATCAGTGAATCAAAATGTAGAATTCAGATATAGATCCAATATACATAAGTGTACACATATAAACTTAATATATGACAAAGTAAAGCTTTCCAAAACAAAAGGAAAGAGAATAATCATTTAACGAACTTGTAATGATAACTAAGTAGACATTAAGGGAAAAAAATAAGTTGAATTCACATCTTGCACCAAAAGTGATTACTGATGTAAGTGTTAACTATTAAAAAACCACATTATAAGAAAACAAGTGGGAAACAGAAGGAGTTTATCAGGTCTGCGGAGGAATTAGAAATTTCTCAGCTTTGGGGGAAAAAAATCACAAAAGACTGGCAGATTCTAATAGATTAAAGTGTAAAACTTCTATAGGATAAAAACAGCAAAGCAGAAAGGATTGACTGAGAAAAAGATGTGCATCAAAGATGGCCAACTGGGGTTTAACGTCTATGATCCACAAGGTGCCAAATTTATGAGAAAAACATCAAGACCCCACGATACATGGACAAAGTGTAGAAACAAACACATAGGAAAATATTTATCCTGGCCTGTGGTAAGACACAAAATAACACAACTTTGAATTCTCACACAAAATTTATCCAATCATTCTTTGCTAGTGTCACTGTAACTTGTTACAACACCTTTGCAAATCATAACCATCAATCCAAAAAATGTCATTTTGAGATTTTATTGTAAGGAACTAATTCAAGAAAAATGTACAGGATAGTATGTGACTTATATCTCAAAGCTCTTACCCCCCCCCAAATGCACTATTCATTTAATTATCTATAATAGCACAAAGCTGAATAAAATTTGAAAGTTTAATATCAGAGGGATGTTTTTAACCTCATTATGGTACAGCCCATAAATATGCTTCTATGCTGTTAAAATCAGTAAGACAGAAACTATGAAGGGGAAAAAGTCTGTACCTGAAAGTTTTTAAAAATGAAAATAGTTGTTTACAGGTGTATTGGGGCTTTGTTTTAAAAAACTTTAATGTTGTTACACTGTATTAAAACCACCTTTAGGAAGAAAAACAAATTGGGTAGAGTAGGGTACAATCTGAAAGCTTTTACTCCCTCAATTCCATAGACTCCCCCCCCCCATTTAAGTGGTTCAGTTAAGATTTTCATTCACAAACAGTCCCAGACCCTAAACAGGCCAAACTGCAAAACCATGCCCCCTTGTACACAAACTAGATTTAATCCAGCCTCAAGCAGGCACCGTTTTATGTGTCGTTCTGCAGGTATCGCATCTTGAACTTTAGCTGACACTGGGGTATGGTTTGTGCCCTTTTCTCCACACTCGATTTTATCTCAGCCCTGTAACTTGCTAACTTTTAGGAGAGGACGAGGAGGACACATGACCACAAAAAGATTGTGAGAGACCGCTTAGTGGACCTGGTTCCTAGACCTGGAATGGAGTGGTCCCAAGCACGAAGGAACCACTGACCAGACCCGCTCCTCTGTGGCTGAGGCGAAAGACACAATTAAAAGCTGAGGGAAGTGCTTAAGAAGGATAGTGGTGAGGAGCCGCCCACAGGGGAGGGTGCTGAGGGCTGCTCCTGGGAGGCCTCCTCAGATGGAGGCCTTGGAGAGCACAGGCAATAGGATCCCCGAGGGTGCTCGGTAAGTGCTCTCGGCTAGGCCAGGTGTAGGCCTCGGAATTCGTGATGCTCCACGACCCCGGGCCGACTAGGCCGCGGCGCCCCGCCCTTTCCCGGGACGCGGGCCGGCCCGGGGTGGGGAGCGGGCGAGCGAGCGGGCGCTTACAGGTCGGTGCCGAGCCGCGTGAAGCCGGAGTTGAGCGAGGCCCGGGCTATCCGGCGCCAGAGCAGATCGCAGCTGGTGAAGCGCCGCAGCCAGCGGCACACCTGGGCCAGGCGGCCGAGGGCTCGCATGTCCAGGTAGGAGCAGATGAGCAGCAGCAGCTCCTCCGGCAGACGCCAGAGCGCCGGTCCCGCGGCCGGCCGCGCGGCCGACTCCTGAGCCACCGCCGCCTCCTCAGCCGCCGCCATGGCCGCCCCTGTCCCTGCGGTGCCGCCCCAAGCCGGACCCGCCCGTCCCTGTCCTCTCCCCGGCCTAGCGTCTTCCCAACCTGGCCTGTATTCCTCCCTCTTCCCATCGTCTCTTCCAGGTGCCTCCTTCCCTCTCCCTGCACTCCCCTCATCTCCCTTTACGACGCCTTTCGCCCCTTCCTCCACTCTTCCGCCTCCCTCTCCTTCCTCCCCCGGGCCTGTCTCCGCTAGCGCCTCAGCCCCCGACCCTGCTGCCTCTTTCGCCTTCTGCGGCTCCGGCTTCCCTTCCACCCCTCTTCCTCTTCCGCTTGGCCCTGCGCTGCCTTTCCCCTTCCCCTTCCTACGCTTCCCCCTCGCGACCCTCCCTTCCTGCAGTTTCCTCGCCTCCCCGCCCTCTCCGGGCCCGTCGTTCCCGGGGGGAACTGAGCGGCCTTGGCTGCCCATAAGCGGCCGCGGGGCCGGCCCGACGCGGAGCTGAACCCGCGCCACCGCCGCCGCCACCCCCAAAGGAGGTGACACCATGTCGGACCGGGTCACATGGGGCGGCGCGGGCCGAGCCATGGACCCGCCCCTCACACCTGCGGCCTTGGAGCCACCTCGGGGTGCGGGCTGGGGCCCAGGCGCTGACACCACTCCCCATCTCTAAGAGCACTTAGTGGAAGCACACGAATCCATTCTTCAACCGCGTTGTCAGGCCGGCCCCAGGGCCCCGCCTAAGGCCACAAGAGGCCTTCTGAAGCATCTCACTGAAGCCTCTGCCCTCAAGAAGTGCCTAGTTGGGTGGCCCCCTCTAAGAGCCTTCTTCTTCCTCAGAAGATTCCTCTTGTCCACAGGCCACATACCAGAGCCGCAGAAAACCAGCCCTAGAAGTTGACAGTTTCTGTAGACCTGGTTCTCACACAAGGCATGAACTATGGTCCTGGCAGTGACCCCCTGTATTAGACATATTTAGGGAGGTTGCAGTCTTCTATATCCTGAGTCCCTAACTTCTAGCCGTGCATCTGGAAATGGCAAAGCTATTATTAGTCACTACCCACGTGCAAGTTGATTCTTCAAGATCACCCAGGATCTTTTCCCATAATACCCATTCAGTTCACATGACACCAATCTGAAGGAAGAGCTGCTGAGATCTAGGCTTGTGCTATCCAACAGTGTTCCCCCTAATCACATGTGACTGTTGAGCATTGAAATGTGGCTAGTCCAAACTGATGTATGCATGCTATAAGTGAGAAATAACCAGACTTTGAAGATTTATACAACAAGAAAAATGCAAAATATAGCAGTAATTTTATATTGAGTATATATTGAAGTGACAATATTTTGGATATGCTGTATTGAACTAAATATATATTTTAATGTTACTACTAGAAAATTTTAAGTTATACATGTGACTTGCATCTGTGGTTCATATTTTTTTATTGGATAGCACAGGCAGTAAGATTTGCAAGAGAGGAAGAAGATGCCTATCCCTGTCTGTTTATACTGTACCCCAACTCTAGATAGAAAAGATTTGCAGAGGTCCTCAAGCTTTTTAAGCAGGGGACTAGTTCACTGTCCCTTAGACCGTTGGAGGGCCGGACTGCGGGCCCCAGGAGGAGTCAGCTGCTAAGCAGAATAGGCAGTAGCGGCAAAAACCAGGCCAGGCCAGATAAATGTTCTCGGCAGGCCACATGTGGCCCGCAAACCTTAGTTTGAGGACGCCTGATCTAAGGGGTTTCTTTTATATATATCTGCATCTTAACACCCATTTTCAGGGATCAGAAATGCATAAGAAATCAACTCTGAAAATATTCAACACTGAGCATAGCCATGGATAGATCCAGGGAAGCAACAACATTGTATTATGGCACGGCAGAAGCATCATGTAACAAGGTCAAACCAAAATCTGGCTTTGCCCTAGAATTACTTTTTGATCTTAGAAAAAACAACAAAAACTCCACCCATGTTGGCCTTTTAGTGTTCTTAGTCTGTAGAGGAGATAATGCCTCTGCCTTACTTTTGAGGGATAAATGAGATGATCCCTGTAAAATGCTTTGAACTCCTTTACGAAATGCTCAATAGTAGTTACAGGTCAAATCCTGTTACAAAAAAAAATACTACACCTCCCCCAGCCCCCAAAATGCAACAAAGGCTTTCTGTACAAAACAGTTTCCAAACTCTACACAGTGGTTTATTGTAAGTAATATTTGATATGTTACAGTATAATGAAAGGATTTTAAACCATCTTTTATTTTATTTTTTGGGACAGAGTCTCAAGCTGTCACCCTGGGTAGTGTCATGGCATCACAGCTCACAGCAACCTCCAACTCTTGGGCTTAAGCGATTCTTTTGCCTCAACCTCCCAAATAGCTGGGATTGCAGGCACCCTCCACAATGCTCAGTTCGGCTGGTTTTTGGTTGTTTTTTGGTCATTGTTGTTTGCCAGCCCAGGCTGGATTGGAACCCGCCAGCTCTGATGTATGTGGCTGGTACCTTAGCCACTTGAGCTATAGGTGCCGAGCCAAAACCATCTTTTAGAGAAATATACTTATTCACCAGTATCAAACTGTTAGGAGACTATTGAGGTAAGAAAACTGCAAATTGAGGTGATGTCATCATCAGTTCAACATTTATTGATCTTGCTACATTTGGGTACTATGAGCCACTCTGGAAGGAAGATAGAAATGAATATAGGGTGGCAGCCACGTAAACTGAGGCTGGCAGGTTCGAACCCAGCCAGGCCAACTAAAACAATGACAACTGCAACAAAAACATTGCTGAGTGTTGTTGCGGGCACCTATAGTCCCAGCTACTTGGGAGGCTGAGTCAAGAGAATCTCTTGAGCCCAAGAGTTTGAGATTGCTGTGAGCTGTGACTCCATGGCACTCTACCCAGGTCAACAACTTGAGACTCTGTCTCAAAAAGAAAAAGAAATAAATATAGAAAGAATATGATTCCTGCCTTTTGTGTTCACATTTGTTAGATGTGTCTGTAATTTCTAACTGTTTAATCGTTTTTTAACCCTTCCACTATATATAATAAAGCTGGGTTCATCTACACTTTACCTAGTTGTTTTGTTTTGTTTTGGGTTTTTTTGTGCAGTTTTTGGCTGGGGCTGGGTTTGAACCTACCACCTCCAGTATATGGGGCCAGCGCCCTACTCCTTTCAGCCACAGGCACTGCCCTATACTTTACCTAGTTTTTAGTGGAGGACTTGAAGGCACAAAAAATTATAATCCGACATAAATCAGGATCAAAATCCACAATCACACAAGTGCCATTCACCCTAGACCCCATGTTGCCTTCATTAGTGGAGAAATTAAACCATTATTTAAAAACACAAAACCACCTCTTTGATACCCAAACTAGAGATCAGATGAATTGCTTAGTCTACAATTTATAGTGTAACGATTTCCAAAAAAGCCACTCACCATGCAGGAAGAAAAACAAAGCCAAAATGGAAAATTGTCATATGTTGTGCTATATGGTGGTGATGTGTATTCCTATACATGTATCCCCAAGCATTTGAACAACAACAACAAAACCTACTCAGAAGCAGCTAAAATGTTTCATCAATCTTCCCATTCTCTAGTCTCCAACAACAGTAACAAAAATCCAGTTTGGGATATAACCCAAACTTTTAAAAATTACATCACAACATTCACTTTTATTTTATTTTATTTTTTGAGACAGAGTCTCACTATGTCACCCTTGGTAGAGTGCCGTGGCATCTCACAGCAACCTCAAACTCCTGGGCTTAGCAATTCTCTTGCCTCAGCCTCCCAGTAGCTGGGACTACAGGTGCCCACCACAACACTTGGCTATTTTTTTGTTGCAATGGGCCCAGGCCAGGTTCGAACCCTCCAGCTTCAGTGTATGTGGCTGGTGCCAAAATTCACTTTTAAAATTTTCTGGGCTCAGAGCTTGTGGCTCAAGTGGCTAAGGCATCAGCCACATACACCTAAGGTGGCAGGTTTGAATCCAGCCCGGGCCTGCCAAACAACAATGATGGCTGCAACCAAAAAAATAGCCAGGCATTGTGGTGGGCGCCTGTGGTCTCAGCTACTTGGGAGGCAGAGGCAGGAGACTCACTTAAGCCCAGGAGTTGGAGGTTGCTGTGAGCTGTGATGCCACAGCACTCTACCCAGGGCCACAACTTGAGGCTCTGTCTCCAAAAAAATAATAATAAAATTATTTTCTGGGACAGGATTTAAAAAAAAAAATCAACAGTGGGGTGGCGCCTGTAGCTCAGTGAGTAGGGCACAGGTGCCATATACCTACGGGTAGCGGGTTTGAGCTCTGCCCCAGCCAAACTGCAACAAAAAAATAGCTGGGCATTGTGGTGGGCGCCTTAGTCCCAGCTATTCAGGAAGCTGAGGCAAGACAATCACCTAAGCCCAAGAGCTGGAGGTTGCTGTGATATGTGACGCCACGACACTCTATCCAGAGTGACAGAGACTTCGTCTCTAAAAAAAAAATCAACTGTGAAAAAAAAAAAATCAACCGTGACTGAAAACATGAGTTTGTAATTAAAGTAAATGCATGTCTTCCTGGAGGACCTGAATAGGATTTTACTATCAAAGAAAATAAATATATTAGTAGAAAAGAGGAAGGTACAAAGAATATAATAGCCTTAAGAACATCTTTAGGCGGGCATGGTGGCTCACGCCTGTAATTCTAGCACTCTGGAAGGCCACAGCAGGTGCAAGAGGGAGAACCCATCTCTACTAAAAATAGAAAAACTACCCAAGTGTGGTGGTGGATGCATGTGTTTCCAGCTACTCAGGAGGCTGAAGCAGGAAGATCACTTGAGCCCAGGAGTTTGAGGCTCTTGTGAAGCTAATGCCATGGCACTTTAGCCTGGGGCAACAGAGTGAGACTGTGTCTCAAAAAAAAAAAAAAAAAGAGCATCTTCAAATAAAAGTCATCAACTTGAAGTTCATATGCCAGAATTGTCATAAAATAATGTTGGGGGACCAGGTGCCATGACTCACCTGAAATCCTAGCACTCTGGAGGCCCAGGTAGAAGAGTTGCTTGAGACCAACCTGAGCAAGTGCAAGACCCCATCTCTCCTAAAAACAGAAAAAAATTAACCTGGCATGTTGACTATCACTTATAATCCCAGTTACTTAGGAAGTTGAGGCAGGAGAATCACTTGAGCCTAGGAGTCTGAGCTTGCAGTGAGCTGTGATGATGCCACTGCAGTCTATCAGGGAAGAAAACAAGTCGGATGAAATCTACCTTTGTTTTTATGAAGCTTTGTATTTAAAAAAATTTTTAATTTACAGATTAAACTGAAAACATTAGACTACTTTTAACTTAGAATATCAAAAAAGGAATCCATAATAAAA